TATTATGTTGCATGTGCATTATTTTATTTGTCACCTTTCACAGCATAAATTAAAATTTTTAACCCCTTAAAGTTAAAAGTTTAACCCTTTAGGTTTCTGCTCATTATTATTTTTACTCCTAAAATATCACTACTATTTTGATCAATAAAAAAATATATCACAACTATGATAATATGTATAATTAACTATGTTTTAGTTGAATTTATGAACTGTTACAATTGACCCCGTAAGTGGGGACAATTGTAACAAGTGCACGACTGTCAAAAATTGTTAATAACTAATATAATAACATTTAAAATAAGGTATTTATTTTTTTTCTAGTAGAGGATAGTCTACTTTACTCGTCTGTCAATTAATACTAATAATATATTAGATTTTTTGTTAGTTAAAAATAGTTAAGAAAAAAATTTTACAATTGACCCCATTCTCTCCTATACCACAAAGAGAATTTCAATATTTCAACGCTTTTGACGAAAATTGACTTCAATATATATTTACCTCGATTAATGGATAAAAGTCATTACAAGAGGTAAAGTAAAAAATACAAACGGGTTTTGTAATCTTCCTAATAAAATTCGAAACGTGTCAAAATGACGCATCCCATAAACCTAGTGTTAAAAGCATCTGTCGTCGCATGAAATGATGTAATTTTTACGAATAATATGCTGTTTTTACAATTTCAGTTAGTTTGTAACAGTTAGTCATGACTATCAGCTCAAGCTTCGTCATTCTTTAACCAGCGCATTCTGTGCTTATTCTGAAAATAGCGCAAAACGTCAATATAGAAAAGCCGCAGTTTTGAGAAAATGAAGTGCGTTTGTGGTTTAATTTTTCCATATTTAGAAACTTCTATGCTTCACTATCTGGGCTCATAAATATTTTTAAAAAAATGAGAATAAGATGGAAAAATTTTGCCAAATCGGTCAAAATGCTTAATGTTGAGCAAATAAATTAAAAAAAGTTTAATAATTTCTAAAATATTCAGTATACATTTGTGTGTGTTCTAAATCCCAGATAATTCTTCAAGGCAAGATGGCTTAGATAGCTTAAAATTACAGCTTTTCTTCAAGTCTAGGACCCATAAACTGTGTTTTCTTTTTATTTTCCTTGGTGAAAGAGCTTCGGAAAAGCTGTTTTAATGATCCGGCAGACAGCTTCAAAACATTGCAATTCATTGATGATACTCGTCAAAAAGGCATTCATTTTATATGAAGTATTTGTTTTGTTTTGTTTCCTTTTTGTGGTAACCTTCCGATGCGGCATTAGAAGGCGGAATGGTTGGATTAAACGTAATACTCACTCATTTTTTTTAAAAATGCATTTATTTTAGTTTATGGACAAATCAACTAAGTTCAAGTTAGGAGGGATAACGCACAACGATGATCAAGATGGGGAGTGTACAGTATGCTCGTTGTCATTTTTATATTTTTATGCAGCAGTAGTGCATTGTGTACTTGAATCTGCAACTTGATTTTTAAGACCATCAAGGATGAAAAAATCAATATTTTAATTTGTTTTCCAAGAAAGGAAGTGCTTGAATTTTCATAAATCTTCTTTGCCTTCGTGGAAGAGTTTTGATGAGACTAACCAGCATTTGCGCTGTGTAGAGAGGAAAAGCACGGAAACCTCCCACGTTCAGTCTTACACCGGATCTACGACATGATCCATCTACCACTGAGGATATTTTAAGTCAGCACTAATGTCTGTGCTAGCCGGGAGGGAAATTCGTATCGACCAGCCATCGCTGTGATTCGAACCCGGATCATTTCATCGAGGGCCAGCGCTTAATTTCCTGAGCCACCACTGCTTCAATATATTAAAATGGAACGATTTTTCACAAGCTACGGATTTTTAGTAATAGTGCGTACACAAATGTTTTTTTTTCCAGGAGTGGTTGTGCTTAAATAAAAGGCCATGCAATCACTGCAATCCAAATTAGAAAGTTAGCATTTCCACTACTTATTAGTAAGGCCTATCTCTGAAAATAAGAAAATTACAAACTAGCTTCTATACTTAAGTAAACTCGGGGTTTTCAAAATAATTTTTGTTACTCGAATATAATTATTTCGGTGATTCATAAAGAATTTTTTTCGGTTAGGAGAGTTTTGTGCACAACATAAGCTAGGCTTATAATCCTCTCTTTTTAATAAAAATGCGAAAACACCATACCTCTTTTTTAATGGATGCTTAGCACCTGAACGAATCTTTAAACTTTAAAAAAGTGCAAGAGTAAGTTGGTAAAAGATAAAATATTGAAAAATTCTTGCTTCTATTATCATTAAAATTTTGTCTTTTATGTTTACAATTTTTCAGTGAGTTGTCCCCAAAATTAATTTACTAAATAAACATAGTTTTATGGAAAAAGATGATTTTTTAAACAAAAAATAATAAGTTCAGAAAAATGCTTCTTTTTTATTTTATTTATTTGACTTAAGAATGCGAGGTTTGCTATAAAAAGTGAAATTCCAATATAGAAATCTCAGAGAGTTATGAATATATTTTTGAATAAATTTCTTCTAAGCGAAAATTATTAAGATATTTTTAATTAACTTTTAATTTATTTCAAAAGAGGAATCGATTTTTAAATGAAAACGTATGTTTAGCGATTTTATGCATTCATATTTAAATTTGATTTTAATACTGGATTACCACAAACACAAATGAAAAGTTTTTAAAAATCGATTCAGTTTCTTATTACAATATTGTCCATTTTTATATGGTTAGGGATAGAATATCCGGTTCCTTTTCAGTATCATTAAACAATTCTCATTTAACCGAAAAGATATTATACCGAAAAAGGAAGTTATGAACATTTTAAACATTAAGCTTTAAAATATGCGTATTAAATTAATTAAATTTTAAAAAAATGCTCTCATTCCTTTATATCAATTGTTCATAATGCAGCATATGTAACTTATTGTATAAATCAGCAATGCTTACCCAACTGTAACATCAAATATATTACTTCCAATAGAGCTGGATACTGCCATGTCACCAAATCCTTTTCTAGCCACTAAAACACTGGTTATCAGATCAGGTATGCTTGTACCGGCAGCCAAAAATGTTAATCCCATAACCTAAGAAAAACAAAACTAATTTGAGCATAAAAGTAAAACATATAGTTAAATTCATGCACGTGATGCCAGTGATCCTGATAGGCTGTTGAAACGTGACACTTGCTTATGTTAGCAACTGTTTTCTCCATTCTATTTTGAGTAAGCCAAGCACATCAAATGCAAATTCTCTTAGACACATTCTTTATTCTTTAACAAAGAAATATTTGGTTTATTTCTTGCTTAGCACAAAATCAGACACGAAGCCACTTGAAATATAAGTAAATTTATTATGCAACGTTGCCAGGCACACACAACTAAAATAATCTCAGTTACAATAAAATACGTAAACAAATAATAAATCTAGTTTAAATAAAAGATTTAGACAAGAAAGCTCGTATATTTCAACGAATTCAATATTTGATACGGCGTTGTTTTGAATTAACATTGAGACTCGTCCTTAGCATTATCCAGACTATTAACGTGCAAGAAAAAAAATCAGCTAATACTGAGGTCATAAGTAAAAGGGTTCGTGTATCAGAGATTTTCTTTATCTTGAGTTGCAAGAACCCGATATTCTGATGCACTTTGCATTGTTTCCATATCACTAAGCTATTATTTGAATCTATGTATATATTTTTCTTACACCGCAGCAAAGAAAGTCTTCCTTTCTTTTTCGTGTTGGAAGTAAAAAATTTAAATATGTAGTGTGTGAGCTGTCAAGCATAAAAGCGTGAAAGTACATGTTTACAAATTTCTGAACGAAAATTCTTTTCTCTAGTGGAGAAGAAAAAGCTGAAGCAAACTGAGCTATAAGTTGGGAAGAATTAACAGATTAAAAGCGAATAATTCATACCAATAAAGTTCTATATTATCTTTAAATTAAACTTATGCAGGTTCAATAATAAAAGTTTTATTTATTATAATAATAATAATAGTAAGAATAATAATGGCTTTACAGTGATAACTCAAAGTTCTGAAACTTATAATTGTGTTTTATCGAACGTGCGTGTAGTGGTCAGGGAGTGGAACTCGCATCACGAAAGTTCTGGGTTCGAATCCCGGTTAAGGCGGGGATGTTATTTCATCTTTTGAACTATCTGTCCTTATTGTGGGAGTAGCGTAGGCCCACCTAATGTGGTGCCCCTGAAAGAGTGGCTAACAAATATGTCCTACTGATATTTGAATGACGAGTATAAATCGGGTGGGCATTGGAAAAATAAATGAATAAATGTGTTTTTAACAAAGTATTAGTAGTAATTGTTTTTCAAAAGGATAATTATTGTTTTGTTTCTGCAAGTTTTTTAACTGCATGTCTTCATTCATTTCAATTCAAAACCTTTTATTTCAATAATTTATTATTGACTAAAAATTTCACATTTTTAAAGAGGAATTAAAATATTAAAATTTTAAAAATTTTAATAATTGATTTAAATTCTTAAAATTTTATGCTAATACATTTTAAATGGAAAACTTAATTGCTAGAGATGCGAGCATGATTTGCAAAGCAAACTTTATAAGACTGCATAGCAATTTTCGGGAATTTCAAGATTTGAAGAAATTATTCCTTTAAATTTCTTTTGTAAATGCAAATATCTGTCACTAGGCGATGTGCATCGTCTATGTATTTTATTTTTAATTGTTTGATTTATACCGGTCGCACTAATTATTGAACCCTTTCTAACCGTATGTCTTATCATAGGAGCAGCACTAGACGTTCATAAATTCGCCTTATAAAATTGTAATTTTTTTTGGTATAAGGAGAAAAAGTAAACTGCCTCAAGTATCATAATCTGGGCCCTCAAGCCATAAGCAATAAACACTGGATCCATAAATCATTAGTTGCAAGGTCTTTTAGGAAATATACTCACCAGCCTATTCTGTAGTAAAATGGTAAAGTTCAATTACAGATATTTCTGTTCTCTAATTTCGCTTGATCAAAGTTAATGATCATAAACATCAACATACTATTTTCGAAAAAAGTTTCGTACTATGTTATCCCAACAGTTCAAGTTTGCATTTTATAAGAGCTGGATATGTAGCCACTAGAGCAAATAACATTCACACGAGTTTTTTTAAATTTGGGTTTCTGAGATTCTCGATAAAAGAATTTAACTTCTTAATGTTTAAGCTAGAATAGTTACCACGGTTTACAAAAACTATGATGCATCTCAAGAAAGGATCTTAATTTCTTTTTAACGAATTGCTAACGCGCGATAAGTAAACTGAGAATAATAGTAAACTGTTTGTAGCTGTGGAATGAAATGAAACCATTTTTGAACTTTAACTTATTACTCATTAAATATAATCAATATCCGAATCGCGTACTTAAGTTATAACTGTACTGCGATAGTGTTCTGAAGTTTTCTGCTTTTTTAGGTACAGTCAATAAACTAGAAATTGGAGACTATTTAATGAAACTCAAAAGTATTTTCTCAATAGTTAGGGCGTTTCTTAGATTGTAACAAAAGTCACATAGTGCTATGCTCATAAAAACACCCATTGGCTTTTGCTAGGACCATTTGTGCAGATACACCTTGAACCAGTCTTCCTTTTGAGACTGATGTCTGTGCAATGCTGTTTAAAGTTGTCGCAATCACCGGGTTTAAGGACTTCTCTTTTGATTTTTTTTCAGAAGTAATTTCATTGTTTGATTGTATCAGGCCTAACATAGTTGCCGAGCGGAGTGACTCTACGATGCTGGAAGGTTTAGATTTGTTCACTATTCCGAGCCTTGTTAACTTCTCAAAATAGTTCTTATAATTGACTGAAGCTCTGATCTCCAAAATTCACCAAAGAGAGGAATTTATAACTGGTCCCACTATAATGAGTCACTTTCAGAAATGGAATAAATGAACTGACAGCTGCTTGGTTATCATTTTTTTATCCTAATATCATCCTGTTGTCTTTAAAATGCTGCCCCCTAGCTATTGAAAAAGGAAAGATTTTTTTGTCACACCAGCAACTACATTTCAGTTTCGTTTCCCTTTTTCTCCTTCCAAAATAAGCTTTCCTGTATCAAAAAAACCGGTTTCTTTTCGTTATTAAATAGGAAAATGATGCACAGCATTTCTGTACAATTTTACTAGGGGTCAATACTTGGAGGACTAAATTACATAGTTCTGCTTTGGTATGTAAGTATACTGTATCTGATATTACAGCTTTATAATATCAACTTTTATGTCCCGTGTTGCATTTTAAATTTCATTTTACAGCTTTGAGTAGTCAGTTTAAAACAAATAATCTTTGTCAGTAAGGGGAAACTTGTCTGATTCGACAAATATTGATTGCTGCAGTCAAAAAGTAAAATAGATAAATAGACTTCTGTTCGGGTGTTACAAATTTTATTACCAAAAAGTTCCACTTTCCTGAACACATTTGGCTTAACTGAAGTCCTTTATTGGCGCTCGAATGAAGCCCAATAAAAGAGCTCAGTTTTTAGGACTGTTCTCTGGCACAGAAAGTCGGAAATTGTGACAAAAATGACTAGAATAAACAGACGGAAAAGAAAACGACATTCTTCCTCTTTATGTTCTTAAGCGGTACTCCTAAAGTGGAATAGTTTGCCTATTGCAAAGATTCGGAAGCAGGTTGTTATAGAATTCACCAGTAAAAAGACGGCACTTGTTTTTATGCATTCTTAAACTGCCAGGCCGGCGGAATTGATTTGAAGAAAAATTAGATGTTCTTTTAAATTGAAGCTATATGAAAATAAGCATTAATAAAAAAAGTTTTTGTTGAAAAGACGTTAGGCTTATAATCTTTTTAAAATACTTATTTCTGATTCCTAATGTAACGTCATTGATTCTTGAGACTGTTTTTATAGGTATTTCCTGAAAAGCTATTCCGGTTATTTATTTTTTAATACGAATAATAATAACTCTATTATTGTAGAAGGAAAAGCTTTTGAATTAACAGAAACAATTTTTTATGTAATTTTATTGAGAGCTAGGGAACATAATTGCCTAATATGTGATTTTTTCCAGATAATTTGCCTCCCTCTGCTTTTAAACTTGAATCAAGTTTAGTGTTTAATTAGGTAATAATGATATAAGCATCTTTTATGTATATTTTTTGTCTTTATAGCTCGGATTATTGCAATTAAATTGTTAGTGTTTGGTGTATTATTAAATTGTTTTCTATTTGCGTTTAGATATATTATATTTTACCTATAAGCGTTCACTTCGATTGTAACAAAAATTAATTAATCAAAAACGAATTAATACCTAAAGACATCGGAATAATGATTAACCAGCCTGTTTTATGCATATTTTTGGGCTTTATTGTTTGGGTTATTGTGATTCAATTGTTTATGTTTAGTGTGGTATATAATTGTTTTATATGCTATTTGCAGTAAAGTTTAGATATTTTATATTTCAACTATAAGCGTTCGCTTCTATTGTAAGAAAAATTTGCTAATCAAAACTGTATCGATGCTTAACAGATATCGAAATAATATTTTACCAACCTTTTCTATGCTTATTTTTAGTCTTTATTGTATAGATTATTGTGATTCAATTGCTTGTGTCAGACGGGATATAAAATGGATTTTCAATTTGCTATTTGAAGTAATGTTTGGATATTTCATATTTCAGCTGTAAACGTTCGCTTTGATTGCAAGAAAAATTTCTTAACCAAAAACAATCTTAACTTTCCAATAATATAACTTTTACCTAAATTCATCTGATAAATTAAAATCACGCTTTAAAATCAATTGAAATGTTTTTACTCTATTTTATCTAAATTTTCATTTAATATTTTTTTTAATAAAAGGAAATTCGAGAAAATAATACAGATAATTGTATCCGACACGAGTTTTTAGATTACATCTTCAGATCTACTAACTATTGCCAAAACAAACAAACATTTGATTTGTCTCTAAAAGCGTTTATTTTTATCTTCCAAATATGTTTTAAAATATACTTAGCTTCTGGGCTGCAAGTCATAAATTTGACTTACGTTATTTATTTAGAGCAAAAGAAAAAAATAGTTAGGAATTTCTATAAAATCAAAAATAATTTTTGAGTAAGCACTTTTGTTCGCTACTATAGCAAATAAAATATTTCGTTCAATTACTTTTTATAAGATTAGAGGAATGCAAATTGCTTAAAATGCCAATAGCCATGCAACTTCAATTTTATTAATATATTATTCTTACTTCGTTTAAAAAAGAAAATTTAATGCTTCGTGCGTCATTTCTTTCAATAAATGGTGCATATTTATGAGTCAATGAGTTTCCATGAATCATAAGTTTTAATATAGAAAGTATTTTAACTTTATCTAGCGAATGAATAATATAAATTGAGAGCAATCTACGACAGTTTTCTTAGATATATAAGTAATTTCTATATGAATAACTATGGGTCTTAAAATAATAAAATTACTAAATTTCGATAGCTTTTAGAAAAGAGAGAGAATGCTTCATCCATAAATAAATAAATATTTTTGGCTCATTTTAGTCGACGCACTGGTATAGCGTTATAAATATCCAGAATAGTATGGAAGCGGGCTTGGCTATAATGCGTTGTTTATTCATTATATTTCCTGTAATTTTCCTTCTTTTTCCTTTTAATGCTATTTGTTTTCTGCTTCTCCTATCTGATTAATCCTTTTTTGTAGAATTTCGACAAAAGTTTTGAGTTTTTTTTTTTCACTTCAGAAAATATTTATATACTTTACCACTTAAGTGTTAATTATTTTTTCATCCTTGCGCTAATTGTTTTTCAAAAAGTTTCACTGTATGACCATTAAGTTTTAGCGTTCATCAATTCGCCTTACAAAATTTCAAATTTTTTTGGTATAAGGAAAAAAAGTAAACTGCCTCAAGTATCATAATCTGGGCCCTCAAGCCATAAGCAATAAACACTGGATCCATAAATCATTAGTTGCAAGGTCTTTTAGGAAATNATACTATTATATTATATCGTGTTGTATTGTATTGTTATTTCATTATATTTTTATTTTAGTTATGTAATTATTTAGTTACATTATTATGTATTTATTGTTTTGTAACTGTTACGAAAATTAGATGAATTAAATACAGCAACAAACGAAAAGGTAATATTTTGTGACTAAAGCAACAAAAAATAAACGTGAACAAGGCATTAAGTACATAAATTGTCGTTGCTTTAGAATAAAACATACTTGTAATGAAACACAAAAAAGCATTTTTAGTTTGTTCGCAAGTTTAAAAAAAATTTATACACTTCTTCCCTAAACAATAGATAGCGTTCCATTTCCTGATGCTAAAATACAACAATAAATGTGAACAGTATTTCCTCAATGAATTAACATACTTTTTCCCTTCCTCCAGAAATCTAATACTCTGATTCGGTATTTGTTCGATTGGATTTTTTTTTTGTCACGTCCAGACCAATTTCGAGAGGATTGCTCTGGGATAATAAAGAAAGGTACGTGATAAATGAAAAATCTCATACTGGTTAATCCGGCTTATAACCAGAGAGAGAGAGAGAGAGAGAGAGTTTATTCCTTGAAGAAAGAATCCAACCACAGAAGATAATACATTACCTCATTTGGAATTCCAATGGTCTGCCCGACAACAGTCGCCCACCACACCATCAGGTAGGAAAAAATGGCTATCCAAACTATGCTCCCGATGAAGGTGATGAAGAACCATTTCTTTTTCTCCTGGAAGAAATTTAATTATAAACATTTTAACTAAAATGTAACAAATTGTATGATTAAAACAAATTTAATAATTGGCTTTTTCTCTCTCCCTGAATTTCAAGTTTTCATTGACATTCGCTAGAAAATAATTCTTTTAAAAGTCATGAATTATTTTTATTGAGTAGGAATATTTTTCATTTCATTATGTTTGTTCATAACTGTATTTTACACTATACAACAGCGTTTGGATATATAACAGTGTGTTATATAATAGTGTTTATAATCATAACAGTATTTGGATAAAATTTCCAGTAAAGCTATATAGGTGATGAATTAAAAAGGTCTGTTAAATATAATTCTGTTCAGGAAAATTAAATAAAGCAATGATAGAGAATTTTTATTATTTTTCTACTCATACAAATATAAAATAAGAACTGTATAAATAGAAATATATTGACTATATATAAAAACATATTGACTACATATAAAAATATATTGAATATATATAAAAGTATATTAAGTGTATTATATAAAATACATTAAATATAAAAAAATATATTTAATACATATAAAAATGTATTAAATATTAAATGTACATAAAAATATATTAAATATATAAAAAATACATTGAATATATATAAAAATATATTGAATAAGAAGAATTGAATATTTTCTCTTTTTAAATTTCAAGTTTTCATTTAAGTTCGTTGGAAAATAATTCTTTCAGAAGTCCTGAATTATTCTTATAGCGCAGAGAATATCTTTACTGTTATAACAGACCGAGAATGTTCCAGAATTTCATAACAGCGTTTCATGATATACAATATATACACGATATATGTTTGGATTATATATGTTTAGATAAAAGATACAATTACGTCGGTAATGCTGCAAGAAAGTTAAGCCTAATTCGGTTTTGGAAAAACAAAGTTAATATAATTAAAAGATTTTCCCTTACCCTAATTTTCTACACAAATAAATATTAAATGAAGACTGTATAAATAAAGATATATTGACCGAAAAGAATTTGAAAATTGATTATTTTCTACAAGTTTTTATTGATGTTCCCTAGAAAATAATTCTTTCAAAAGTCATGAATTTTTCTAATAGAGTAGTAATGTCTTTAATTTTATTTCAGACCTATAATGTTTGTTCAAGAGTTTCATAACAGTGTTTTACAATATACAATAGCGTTTGGATATATAACAATGTTTATAATAATAACAGAGTTCGGATAAAATTTCCAATTACATCGGTAATGGTTAAAAAAGTTTTGTTAAACATATTTCTGTTTAGAAAAAATAAAGTAAATAAAGATGGAGTACTTTCGTTTACACTAATTTTCTACTCTTATAAATATACAACTAGGATTGTATAAATAAAAATATACTGAATATATATGAAAATATATTGAAGAAAAAAGAGTTTTAATTTAAATTTTTCCCCCTTCCTTTAATTTTAAGTTTTCATCGACATTCTCTAGAAAATAAGTCATGAATTATTCTTGTAGGATAGAGATTGTCTTTAATTTTATAATAGACCTAGCATGTTTGTTTTAGAATTTCGTCACAGTATCTTGGAATATACATTAGTGTTTGGATATATAACAGTATTTATAATAACACAATTTTTTGGATGAAAATTTCAATTATGACGTGATGGCTTAACAATTTTCGTTAAGCATAATTCTGCTCAAGAAAATTAACGAAAATAACAATAGATGATTTTCCATTGAACTAATTTTCTATACATTTAAATATTAAATAAAAAATACATTGAATCGATGCCACGATTAAAGCGACAGGGGGAATTACCAAAGACTAAAATAATCATGAATCAGAGACATTAAAAAAACACGTTTAAAATATAATAAAAATTGCCCTTTATTAATGAGTATCTGTGAAAAGATCTATGATCTATCGCTTTAGTTCTTTGCTTATTAAAATTTTTTATTATACAATTTGCACGCTTTAAGTTTCAACAACAAATGAAAATTGATTCTTTGCACATAATATCGAATTTTTTCTTCAATGATCACCCTATGTTTAATTTGTTAAAAATTTTTTTAACAAAAATCCCTACTAAAATTTACCAATTGACCATTGAGAAGGTAGGACTCAAATAACAATTTTTTTCAAAAACTATTGCTTTATGAACAAGTGAGTTATTGTTTCTGATGTATATTTTTATGCTGAATTGTATGAGGTCAAACTCAAGTCGTGATGACTAATAGTTAAGAAATTATTGAGGCTTTATTTATAAAATGAACGATTTTGTATTTCTGCCCAATTTCGCTCTTAGAATGTATTTCTAGGAAAAAAGAAAGGAGATAGAAATGTATAGTTTGCGATATTTTTTTATGAAACTAAAAAGAGTCTCTTATCCAATTTCAAAGTTAGTTATAAAATTACTCCAGAGATGGCGCAGTTGACAAGAAATATTTTAAAACATGTTTTCTAATTGCATGCTAAACCATTTCAATTGAAATATTTACAAGAGCATTGTTAATTTAATTTTCAGAGAAGGTCACGTTGCTGTTGAAGATAGAAATAACGCTGAATTCCTCATTTCATAGTTTTACTCAATGATTAGAGTCATCTGCTGATATACCTTACAATTAATTTGGAATCGTAGGAAAAGTAAATTGTTTTAGTTTCTAAAACTGGCCATACATTTTTTCTTCCATATGTTTTTTAAAATTGACATAAAATTGTCCTTTTTGGGACAGTTGATACCTCAGATTAACATTTCACAATTATTTTTTATTCTATCCTATAACATCCTCAAATCTTTAAAAATGTGACACTCAATATTTTAGCATTTTCAAAAGTCTTTTCAGCTATAATTTTTGTTAAATATTTCATAATATCTATGTTTCAACAAATAGTGAAAAATGAAAAGTTCAACACATAAACCATAAAACACTTTATTAGTTTAAAAAAGAACGTAAAGGTTTCGTTTTATCTAGATTTTTTCTCATAATATTCCGTTTTTTAAACGAAACACAGGTAATTCAATCTTAGTTCATCAAATAGATTATTCGACATCGGTAAAACAAAAAATATCCTGTAAAATTAAATCAGGTTGTATTTCATGATTTTTCATTGAATTACCAAAGATCAGAAAACCTGCTCATTTCCTTTAACTAACCATTAAAATCTAAGCAAACACGGAAATGATAATTTCCTCTTTCTTTTCCGAATATCTTTTAAGGTTTCCCCACTGTTATTGACTTTTAATCTGTTCGCAAACGGATAGAATTAAATAGTACACTTTATAACAATGTTTAAAATAAAAAAAATAAAAAACTCTTTTATCTGCTAAATAATCATCATACGGATATCATAAATAAGTTAGGATTAATTAAAAATATATCAATTTACTTAAATTGTATGTTACTTTTTAATTATTTTTATTGAAAAGACACAGTTATTCTTCACACATTTTACGAATTGCTGCTAAATTAAATTTCCTTAGACCTTACTTTTTAGAAATAATTTTTGTCGTGGAACTACCAAAACACTCAGATTTAATAATTTTACTTAATTGACTAGGAGGCTTCACCCCCTGCTCGCTTGCGCTCGCCAACCCCCGGAACTGCTCTTGCAGTTCATTTCGGATTGCTTCGCAATCCGATGCTCGCTTTGCTCGCTCATTGGATACGTTCTTAACGTCAAGCTTTTGTATATTTTTTGAACACTGAAGTTCCGAAAACTTTTCGCTNAAAGAATCATCATACAGATATCGTAAATAAGTTTGGATTAATTAAAAAAATATCAATTTATTTAAATTGTATGTTACTTTTTAATTATGTTTTCTGAAAAGACACAGTTATTCATCACACATTTTACGAATTGCTGTTAAATTAAATTTCCTCAGACCTTACTTTTTAGAAATAATTTTTGTCGTGGAACTACCAAAACACCCAGATTTAATAATTTTACTTAATTGATAGACGGGATATATAAATTGTTGAACTAAGATAACATACAATTACCGAATACTTCAATCACGATTATATTAAATCTCATAATAATTCTTATTGTATGACTGCATTTTTTGAAAATTTTATAGCATTATTTAAAAAAAAATAATGATTAGGTAGTTTAAATAAAATGATGATAACGTTTTAAAAAAACTTTTATTAAAAAAAATAAGTGCCGTCGCATTTATTTATTTTTTATTTTAATTATTTAATTATTATTATTATTTTGCATTTTCATTGCATAAAACGTTTTATTAATTCACGAAGATATTATCATTATAGATAACATTTTCTATGAAGATCCAGATATTATCATTATAAACTTAATAAAAACTATTAAAGTATTTTACTTAAATTTTTTATTTAAATATTAAATTTACAGAAGTTAAACGATAATCAAATTACATTTATTTTTAAATTAAATTCATGTTCAGTCCACGAAAGAAAATAAAATAATAAACGCAAAATTATTGTTCGAAATTTAAAAGCAATATTGATGTTTAATATTTCGCATTATTTCTATGCAATCTCTTAAACGAGTTTAATCAACGTTAACGTTAAACGTTTATTAAGCGAGTTTTTATAATATTCAAAAAAAAAAAATTAAAATTAAAATAGTAAGTTTGTGCATGAATATGTACTGAGAAAAAAAGTGTGAACAAAACTACCAGAATATGCTTAAACTAACCGTTGGTCAGTCCTCATGAGAATACCAAAGAGCTCGGTAATTTTAACCGAAGTGCTTTGGTTATGATTTTATAATTTTGATAACCAATACAATTAAATTAGGGTCTTAATAATCTTGGATAAAATTAATTTGGTTATTTAATTACGATACCTTAAGGCATGATGTAAAACCATTTATTTAGTTACATTTACGTTTCAGATATTTTATTTACTTTTTTATTTATTTTTAACTAAATGTTTGGTAATAAGAGCAATAATTTTGATAACCAGAACTTCCGGTAAACCGTTACATTAGAAACGGAAAAATTAATAAATTAATGGCTGAAATGCGATATATTTTGGAGTTATT